TGCAGCTATATTATAGTTGTAGCATAAATGTATCGGATCGAATAGGGAAAAACCACTCTCTAACAGAATACCAGCGTAAAATAGCAGCTTAAAACTGCTGTTTTTCGTATGCTGAGTATAGAGAACCAGATACCGTTTTTACTGGAAAATAGGCATTCCATTTTAGTCCTCACTGGTGACACGGCATCTGCATTTTGATTCGCAAACGAGGATAGAAGTAAGAAAAAAACGTAATGAACTTCAAAACCATATTTTAGTCCCTGAGTGACTAAGTACACAAAACAACCTTTGCAGTTATGAATTTTAAAATCAAGAAAGATATATTAAAATAGTGAAGCAACTACTGGTCATGTGGTTTTAGGTTCGAATCTTGGTAGGCCAAAATCCGATGGGAAGGAATTCAACTTAACAGAGCTTAGGCACAGGACCAACGGATTTACGTGCTTTCCGAGACACGGGAGTGAAACACCGCCAACTTCCTGCCTCCTGGCTGGTACTGAGAATTTTTAACATAAAAACTCAATAACTGATTTTGGCCTAGCCCAGTATTCGACACCGGGATCTCAACCGTGTTCCAGATCAATAGACTAATGAAACATTCAAAGGGGATATACAAAATTATTTCTTACAGTAATAATAGTTTGTCGTCAAAAACTGTAATTTTGTTTGTCTTGATTTTAATTTAACTTTGAACATCAAATCATTCGTTTACTGCCCTACGCTTCTTAGACAAATTTCGCTTGTTTTTCCGTACAAACAAATAACACGAGTTTTGAACCCGAATTATTAAAACAAGTCAAGAGAACCAGGCGTCGCTTTAGGATATTTTTTTTTAGTTTATTTGAGCCTTATGGGAATTAATTTACAAAACACATAGCGCGCATTTTATTATTGAACTTAAAAGAGGAGGTGGGTTTTAATTCGACAGTATTTTGAATGTATCTTACGCGGTATTTTTGCCAATTGAAATGTAATGTCATGTCATATGTAAAGTAGCATTTAAATCATATGCCAAACCGATTTTAATGCTACTCTTATGTATTAAATAGGTTTTATCTCAAGGGTAGCCGTATTTATATTAGAAGAAATAATTACACCACTAAGGATGGAAAATTGAAGATGAAATTTTCAATGTAAGACGATATTTTGCTTGGTACTTTACTTATATAAGTTTTAATTGCTAAGTCTACTTAAAAGGCCCTTTTTACTGGAAATGAGGCATTCCATCTTAGTCCTCACGGGTGACAACGCATCTACATTTTGATTTGTAACAGAGGATAGATGTAGATGTCTATGGGCCGCAGCAACCACTTACCATCAGGTGGACTGTGTGCTCGTTTGTCACCCTTATCTTATAAAAAAAAGGATGAAACAATTAAACTCAAAAAAATGAAAACGTAATTAAAAAAAAAACTAAACAATAAAATAACTATCATAATACAATTTAATGGTGTCTGAACTCGTTGGTAAGTGTGCTAAGAATATTACAAAGAACTAAAGCTCCGAATTCGGCAGCTAAGAAATTGTGTAGGAATTATTTTGTCTTTTAAAGAGATTATTTTTTTTTAGGAATGAGGTTAAAAAGATAAATGAAAATACGAAAAAGTGAGGGTAGAACCGTAGTATCGCGCAGATGACTAAGAGATATCAGTTTATCAGTTGGTGTATATATAGTATATGAGTCTCTTTTGCGTTACTATGCCCTTTTGTTCTACTAGTGTAAGCACCAGCAAGGAACCCAGCGGGACTTTTTTAAATAACAGCTTACAATCATGTATGTTACACAATTAACAACACAAAACAAATTAGAAATAGCTTGGTAGCGATCACTTTATTCTCCGGGGTTATTATCATTTATTTATATTTATAGTTATTATCATTAATATTATAATCACCCTTTTTATACAAACTTAGATTAACATAGTTTTTGAACTTTGAGCAGGTCAAATTTTTTATATTTTCTGCGATTATATTGTAAAAGCGTATACATTGCCCCAAGAATGATTAACTGACTCGGTGGAGTCGAGTAACTGGTAGCTTGTGTCTGTTCCTAGTATTAACAGATTGAATATTCCTTATTTTTGTAAAACTACTTTTATTTTTGTGTATCTACATTACATTTTCATAAATGTATTGAGAGGCCAAAGTTAATAAAATATTAATTTCCTTAAATTTTTATCGCGGCGACTCTTAAGGCTTTAAATCATAAATTGCTCTTATGGCCTTCTTCTGTAACGCAAATATAGTTTCAAAGTCAGCTGCGGGTCTCCATAGTAAAATACCATACGATATTATGCTATGGAAATAGTTAAACTAGTCTAGCCGTTTCAACACTGGTAAGATTTCTAACCGATTTTACAGCATATGCTTGTTTACTAGTTTTGATATATCGGGGTTCTATTGAAGCTTGACGGCTAGAGTGATTCCAAGATAAATGGCGGTATCCACAAGACCTGATTCTTGGAACTGAAATAGATTATCAAAAGATGCGCTCTATCGGCATAAAAAAGGAGGCGGTGGGCGGGGAACTAAGGATCTTTGCAGCATACCGTCCGTCAGGGCCTCCATTTTACTCCTCAAACGTTTGGACGGTAACAGAAGGCACAACGCCCACCATCATCGCCGGTAACCTAAACGCCAAACACCCGGCGACGGGATCTAGATTGATCAACCGGCCGGGTCGTGTACTATATGAAGATGCGGAGGAAAACAATCGCGACGTTTTAGGTCCCGGGGAACTAACTCACGTTCCAACAGATACACGTATAAGTTCGGAAGTACTGGACATCCTGCTCTCTAGGAATGTCAACTTCTAGATAGTGGTAGAGATGCTGTACGACTTGATAACACAGCACCTCCCGAAACTGATTACTCTTGGCCTCAAGGCAGTGGCTACGCTGCCCAGAGCCGTTAAGAACAAAATTGACTGGACGCTCTCATCACCAACACCTGCAGGAGAAACCTCGATTCCACATATGACGTAGACGCCGCTGCAACCAGCATAACCAAGAACATCCAAGAAGTTCTCCACGCCGTCTCTGCGATCGTCCCGATAACTTCAAGAAAGGACCGCGTGATATGTGCGCACAAATCAAATCCAAGAGGGCACTAAGGAAGCTCTGGGCACGTAATCGCTGCCCAAGACTAAAGACAAGACTGTACCAACTTACGGATGAACTGTCGATTGCAATCCGGTCCCACAGAGGAGAGGCATTTTAGCGAAGCATCTGGAAAGCAGAAGAGCAAGATGCGTTGCTATACAAATTGAACCGACAGTTAACTAAAACTAGACCCGCCGTTTGCCTGCTGACCAACAATTCGGGTGAACATTGTTATGATGCCAAGGGTAGAGCGGATATCCTAGTAGAGCACTTCGATACGAACCCAGCAAGTGCGAAGTTCATGAAGAAGAGCCACGTACAGGAGTTCCTGTCATCGCCTGCGCCACCGCTTCCAGACGAGTGGTTCATCTCTCCTGCCGAATTGTGTCGGACACTAATCCGCCTGCAACCGAGGAAGGCGCCGGGGCATGACGGGATAGCCAACGCTGCACTCCGACAGTTGCCCAATAATAGAATACTTGTAGAGATTTTTCTACTCTACAACGGTATACTGCGGACAACTTCCCGCAGGACTGGAAGGTCGGCAAAGTCATCGTGTTGCCGAAACCCGGGAAGGACAGGCGTAGAGCTGCGTAAGCTGCTAGAAAGACTACTGTTAAGAAGCCGCCGCCCTTGCATACAACTTCGGGTGAAGCAGCACTGATTCAGGAGGGACTACTCAACAGCAACACAACTGATCAGAATGCTGCACACTACCTTGCGGCCGAGCACATCCGCGGCCGCACATCGTTGGGCGTCTTTCTCGATATAGCGAAGGCGTTTGACATGGTGTGGCACTCTGGATTACTCTACAAGTGGGAACATAGCAGTGTTGTGTCTAGTGGCGTCATTCATCGTTGACAAGAAGTTCTATGTCTATGTAGAGGACGCCGTGTCCGCAGCAAGACCCATTAGCGCCGGCGTACAACAGGGTAGCTGTCTGTCTCCAGTCCTGTACGTGGCTTATACGAACGACATTGCAACCCTGGCAGGACACTTGCGCGAGTGGGACGACGACGTAAAGATGACGCCCACCTCGTTGTTCCTGAACCCAATGTGGTGTGATATCAGTTTATTGGAATAGAAAATCATTGATTAATTGACCCCTGTCTGTTGGACCCTTTCAGTTGAAGGAGCGATGGGCTGCGACTCTTTCAGTAACAATCGCTGGAAACATTGCACAGGCGGTTTGCAACAGCAGAATTTTATTATTTTGAGTTATGAAGATGCAGCTGCCCATTTCTTGATTCATTTCCCTTTGTCGCCTTTTCCTACACCTATATGTAATAATATACATATAATTGTGGTTCTAAGACGTTTCATCTTAATCCTCAGATAAACAACGTATCTGCAGCTCATTTTTCTGAATTTGATCGCAAATGTTCAATAAAAAAACACTCATCTGATTGAAAATTTAAACTAATCGCTTATTGTACGTTAAAGATTAGTTAAAACTAACATATAAAAGGAAATCCATTCCGTAGCGTTCATTATTGAATCAATGCGTTGTAATAGGATTGATGAGATTGCGGCTGCGGTTGCGGATTTATGTACGCGAGTCGCAAACCCATTTTCTAGAGCGAGGATTTATTGCTAGAAGTGTATATTGAAGTTTTTCGAGCTGATTTGTACGGTCGGTAGTTTTATTAGTAAATGAAAAAGATTTTGCCTGAATATTGTTTTTCTTCAAAGTGGTAGGACTTCTTTTCTACCTAGGAGTCTGTATCAATGTATAACATATTTCTACCGCCAAATAGCAGAGCTTGCACTGCTGTGTTCCGATCTGAAAGGTATAGAGAGAGCCTGTGAGGTATTCTATCTCAGTCATCAGAGTTAACAACACACATGTAGCCTTGGCCTGCTGGCCGTATAAGGAAGCTGAAGGTCGCTCAACGAGCTATGGAGAGGACTATGCTCGGGGTTTCTCTGAGTGATCAATTTAGAGATATCCGCAGTAGAACCAGAGTAACCGACATAGCCCAACGGATTAGTAAGCTGAAGTGGCAGTGGGGCGGCCATATAGCTCGAAGAACCGACAACCAATGGGGAAAAAAGGTTCTCGAGTGGCAGCCTCGTACCGGTAGGCGAAGTGTAGGGCGTCCCCCCACGAGATGGAGTGACGACCTGGTAAGACATGCAGGAAGTCGATGAATGCAGGTGGCTCAGGACCGTGCTTTAGTCCACTGTAAAAGAGATTAGAGATATAAGAGTGTTAGAAGTTTTAGAATAGAAGAGAATAGAAGAGATGTCAACCACGTATATCACGCGACTGAGCCATGCGGCATGATACCTCGCTTATAGAAGCGTTCACTGCTGGTTTTTCTCGTTTGTCATCGGGTGGCTAGGCGTCATTAGCGCGTCAAGTCGAATGTTGAATTATTTTAATTATTCATTATCTCGTACGTCCATATAATAATAATAATAACGCACATAAATGACGTTTTGATTTTTAATACTTTTTGTCACAAAATACCTTATTAAGACTGAGGTATAAGAAATAGGCCTATGGTATTGCGGACTTTTTTATCTCAGAAGTGTAATTATTCCTCGTGAATCTGGCTATCATATGCAATAATAATGTCTCAAATCTGTCTGGCAGTTCCAGAGGTAAGCGGGTTTAAACAAACAAGAAACCTTCTGCGCTTTATTATATTAGTATAAATTCTCTCCTCATCATTCATCATCATTACAGCCCTTCACAAGTCCATTGCTGAACATAGGCCTCCCCCAAAGAATGCCACAAAGCACGGTCCTGAGCCACCTGCATCCATCGACTTCCTGCATGTCTTACCAGGTCGTCACTCCATCTCGTGGGGGGACGCCCTACACTTCGCCTACCGGTACTAGGCTGCCACTCTCTCCTATATATTAGAAACTAGACAAGAAATGGACACTAGAGATTATGCAAAGGCATAGGCTGGTATCATTCCTTCTTGAAGTGAACACTTCTTTAGAATCGTTGTAATTTAAAACTCGATTAAACAAAAAATCGACACTAAAGAAAAACAAACAAATACATCCATAGAATTAAGCCTGCGATAGAATGAGATAGAATACAGTATACAGTGTTGCCTATCATCTCGGTCTCCTATTCTGATGGTTTCACTTTACCGCGTCTGAACTGCACACATCATGTTTATTCTTTAATTTTATGCCTATTAAGTACTTTACATTAAATTATCTCTTTCTTATCGTGTACATTCAGACTCTCAAAGCATGATAATATACAGCATGTTCTATGTTTATGAATACGGTGATATATGTTCGGTGAATATGGTGTTCCATATTAAAGCAGATTTCATTATTAAACCGCAAATATTGGTAACATTGATTTGAGCTGGCATTTGATTTTCAGTTCAAACTTATTTGCAATATTCATGGAAGCTCTAATTTTGATATAAGCATTGAATTTCTGCGGCATTGAAATCGGCTGCGGTTATGAAATATTTCAAATATACGTGTTATTCTATTTTGCTGAAATAATTAAAGTGATAATGTTATGTATTTACAAGCGACACGCCTCGGATTTTCGTGTATAGGATAGGACTTGTAAGTTTAGTGATAATCAAAGAACGTTTATTTACCAATTTTTAGTTTTCTCTAAAATAGTATCCAAGATTTTCGGATTCAATTTTAAAGTTGGTAATAATTATTTTCCCGCATCTGCTCATTGAAATGTGACTTACCTAATTTGCCCTCCCTCAATTCCATGCATTATCCCCGTCACCACTAATTGGCACACCGGTGGATATAATATCCACAGTAGATAAAATAGGAGATAGACTTAAACTTACATAGATTTTTCCTATGAATATAAACTTAAACCGACGTCCAATGATCTAGGATTAAATTATCCCTTTCAAATGTCAAAACAGCATAATCGCATTTTTATTTCATCAACTACGTTGGTACACCTTTGAAATTGTTGCTGCAAAATATTAAACATGTTGCTCACTAGACCTTTAAAAGCATAAAATAAAATTGGATGTGACTAATTCAGCTTTTAAGCGTTTATCAAACTCTGTCATTTTTTGCATCCAGCTAACTTCAAGTTCCTTCTGCATCAGATCAACCTTAGTGACATTTGCCATTATGTGATAATTACTTGAAATGTGTATATATAGATATTCACTTGTAAGCTAAGTTGAGCTGTAGGGTGATGCAAGTAAGTTCTTAAATCTTCTTTAAACACATATGTTTATAATATTAATGTAAACTAAAATGTGTAAACTCACTGATTTGAATGTAATTTAACTTAAATTTGATTTTGCATTATTTTTAATTGAATAAATAAACTGGAGCTATCAAATCAGCTGTTGACTTTTTCACACCTACCCACCGAAAAAACATTTATGTGTACATACTTCGGGTAAAATTTTAAATGATGCTTCCACTGAACTGTAAAATATATAGTTTGCTTATAGATTTAGATTTGGACATTTTGATGGCTTAAACAAAAGTCTGTATTTTAAAAAAAGGTTTTTATTTATATTTTTATTTATATAAGTAGGCTAGCTATATCAGTAAACATTATAAATAAATAAACACTCACGCCTGTCTCCCAGAGGGGTAGGCGGAGACTATGGACTTCCATTTGGCACGATCCTGACACACCTCTCTCGCTCCCTCCACATGCATATACCAACGCATACACGCTCGTCGGTTAAAAGTACTCTTGATTTGGCCCATTTTCAATATATCGCCAATTTGGTCGATAAACTTGCAAAAAGGGTCTCTGGTTCTTTATACTCACCATACGAAACACAGCAGCGTTAAGCTGCTATTTTACGCTGGTTTTGATATCTGAGAAATAACAAATAAGCTTATTCCAATAACAGTCAAACGGTTTTGACGGCTCGGTGGCACAGTGGCTTAGCAATGAGTTGCAGCGCTAAGGGCCGCAGGTTTGAATCCCTCACGGAACAAGTATTTCTATGGCCTACAAATGTTTGTATGGATTTTTGTCTTTTGATGTTTGTATTGGATGTTTGTCCTTAACAAATCTATATATGTAAACTGCCACCGCGATACAGGAGAAAATGCTAAGTTAGAGGTAACATTGTGTAATAAAGGACAAAGAAAACAAAAGCAAAAAAAGAGCAACTTAATACTGCCGTTTCGTATGGTAAGTGTAGAGAACCGGAAACCCTTTTACTTGAATCGAACATTCTGTCTCAGTCCTCAGGGTTACAATGCATCTGCATTTTAAGGATTAATATTTTTTGGGGATTAATATAGTTGTCTATGGGCCACAGCATTTGATTATCATTTGTTGGAATGTGTGCTCGTTTGTCACCTTTATTCTGTAGAAAAAGAATATCATAAAATATAAAAGTAACAATATTAAAACAAGGAACGAAAAGAAGTAACCAGTAGAAAATATACTTGAAATACCTGTACTGTATGCAGCATGAACTTGCAAAATGGTGCGATCTCAGTGATTCAGTTCGGTCCAATCCCCACAACAAATGGGACGGCTACTTCCCGTTTCCCGTTAAGCTCTCCAAGTAAGCTTAAAACATTCATGTTTACTTGTGTTAAGAGTGGTTCACGACAGTATTCGAAGGGTGGATTCAAACCTATGTCTTAAAGTAACTATGACTGTAATAAAACATATATAGAGTGATATACTCGAAGTTTGTCTATGTGAAATAAAACGAATATTTAACGTTGATAACCGTAGTAAAATCAAAGTAACCAAGTAAAACAAAGCCAAAGGGATTTTTAAAGACAAATAATTTGCTACTTCAGTAGCGCGATTGTGTAACTTTGGTGTAATCGTTTGACGGTGAAAATCAGTCAGCAACTGCTTTCTGATATTGTGATAATATAATAATGAAATCTTCCTTGTAACTTTGATAGCCTATGATCACTGCCTGAACATAGGCTTCCCCATAAATTGCTTCATAAATTCGATATTTGCCATAATTGCTACGCTTGGCGAACGAGTAGCAACCAACCGCAGTTTTTATTTTCCAGTTGTTATTAGGGAGATTCTGCATCCCATCTCCTGGTTTATTTCCTTCTTTTGCCTCGTTCTAACTCCACGAGACGGTACGGGTTAGTGGGTTCTTACACCGCCACTACAGAATCGTTTTAATCGCTCTATGTTACGTGTAGACACACGGTTATCAATTGAAATTATAAATCAAGAGGGATATGGACTTATTATCCAACCAGGATAAGGTGACAAACGAGCACACAGTCTACCTGATGGTAAGTGGTTGCTGTGGCCCATAGACATCTACTCCTCAATAAATAATCAAAATGCAGGTGCGTTGTCATCCGTGTTACAAGTGTATCCGGTTCTCTTCACTCAACATACGAAACACAGTACTGTTACGCTGCTATTTTACGCTGGTATTCTGTGAGAGCGTGGTCCTTCCACGGTCGAGCCGATCCATTCGTGCTTCAACTATACTACTTATATAGCTGCAGCATGGTTCTACCACGTATAATGTATTTAACAAAAACTCGCACCGCAAGTTGCTTTGTAGGAAATGGGCTGGCAACGTAGCTTTTAAAACTGACAATTGTTTTAGAAAAATGGGTCTCGAATAGCAGACTCGTATTGGCAAGAGCAATGTGGAGCGGCTCCTCGCGAAATAAGAAGTAGAAGAAAATGAATGCAATTTGATCAGGATTGTTTTATGTGGCTGTTTTTTGGAAAACCTACGTCTAGTGATGGACTTTTTTCTTGGTGTAATGTTTCACAAACATTAAAAAAAGAGTGCACCAATGGGATGGTTAGATAAAATCCCATCCAAGCATTACCAAATTGATGAAAAATCCTTACCATTCCTGCGGGAACACCAATATATATCAATGCATTGGCATGCATTACAATCCCGAATTCTTCCCTAAAACAGAAAATTTTGATCCTAATCAGCTCTTACCAGAGAATGAAAAACAAGTAAATGCTATTTATTATTTGCCGTTTGGTGAAGGTTTGCGTAAGTAATTCAAAATTATATATTGTTTTAGTCTATAAGCAGACTATATCTGGAAGAGAAGGCCCTCTTTCCTTACCAACTACAAATCAATTTGTACATAACATAGTAATAACATGCTATTTGTTATTACTATGTTTGCACTTTCGGTTGTTGACTCTTGATGGAATTCAATATTTTATTTGATGAGAAATATGAAACAACTGTACTTATTCAAACAGTTATTATTATTTATTTAATTGATAGCCTCACATTTTGGAAACATTTTCAAAGGTTATTATTGTGTTATTACAGTGACTAGCCTAATTATTTCAAACGTAAGTGTTGATCATAAGGTCCCCGGTTCAGTTAAGTCAGAAAAATTCTCTCATTGCGTTTTTCTATCATGAAATTCTCAATAGTTTGACGGCTCCGTGGCGCAGTGGCTTAGCAATCAGTTGTTGCGCTGGGGGCCGCGGGTTCGAATCCCGCACGGAACAAGTATTTGTATGGCCTACAAATAATTGTTCCGGGTCTGGATGTTTGTCCTTGTGCAGTTTATGTTTGTAAACTGCTTCCACGACACAGGAGAAAATCCTAGTGTGGGGGTAACGTTTTTTTAAAAAAGAAAAAAAAAATAACAAAGTAAAACCGTTGTTCCGGTGCCTGATCTCGCTCCGGTCGTGTCAAATTGTCGAGGCATCTATCCTTGTGCACATACTCGTGTTACTTTAATACTTTAATCCTGTCCTGTGCAGATGGCTAGTCTCTGTAGACACTGGCTGCCAAGACCGGAAATTACCCGGTCCAGTTTTATCCAGAAATATTGTACATTATCACAGTGGCTTACGAGTAGTTTTTACTTTGACGTATATCCAGTAGACTGATAAGGAAACGGTGAAATAATTACAATGCACTACTTTATGCATATAAGTTCATGTGGGAAGGTATGACCCTCTTACCTATTTCTGATTCCAAATAACAGAACTACTGTGTACTAGTCTGAAAATATAGAGAGCTAGTATGATTACAGGTTGTGAGTCATTTTATCGAAGTCCATCTTTGTTTAAAATTTGGCTGCAGTCCCTTTTTCACTTCAGTTTTACAAATATTTTTTTATAAGATAGGGTGACAAACGAGCACATAGACATCTACATTTATCCTCGTTTGCGAATCAAAATGCAGATGCGTTGGCAGCCGTAAGGATTAAGATGGAATATGCCTCTTATTCAGTAAAAAGTGTCTCCGGTTTTCTACACTCACCATACGAAACACAGCATTGTTAAGCTGCTATTTTACGCTGGTATTCTGTGAGAGCGTCGTACTTCTTCGGTCGAGCCGACCTATTCGTGCTACAACCATACTACTAATATAGCTGCAACATAGCTCTACCACGTAAAAAATGATCTTTTCTACTTCACTTTACATTTTTTACTGGAAATGAGGCATTTCAGTTTAGTTATCAAGGGTGACTATTCATTTGCATCTTCACTCTTAAGATGATAGATGTCAATGGTTTTGGGCCACAGTATTCATTTACCATTATGACACCCACTATTGTGCCAAAACTCGCATTTTTTATAGAATAAGGATTACATAGTATAGCTGATGATAAGTGGACGCTATGGCCCATAAACATCTACATTTGTGCTTAACCTTTAACTGCATTAGCGGGGTCTAAGTAGACCCCACGGGACATTTTTTAGTTTTTTTTTGTTTAGCCGAACTATAGACTCGCTCTTTTAGGTATTCTCAGTGCGACATGGGGGCTATTCTTGCAACGGTAAGCATCTATTTTACCTCGGTGGGGTATCTGTAAACCCCGCGCGGGCTTTTAAGTAGTATTTATTTACAATTTGCTAATAACACTGTATTTGCTTTATTTGCTTTTATTTAAAGATATTTATTACAATAATAATGATGATAATAAATATATATAATAAAAGAGAGACAAAAAATAACTCAGAAGAAGAAGTTGATCAAGCATCGGTACACAATATACACATATCTGGTTCAGATATCGAACAAAGCGAATACTCTTCTCCAAGAGAAGAGAAAGAAGAAGAAAGACCGACGGAAATTATGTAAACTCTCAAAAAAATATTCATAAGCATTCCAAGGCCAATAAATAATTGTTTGTCCTGCAAATACAAAGAAAACGAAAGACCAATGGAAATTATGTAAACTATCAAAAAACTACTCGTAAGCTTCCAAAGTAAATCAATTATTGTTTGTCCTATAGATACAAAGAAAACGAATAATTTTAAAGGCACGTAATAAGTGCTATCATTTTTTTAAAATTATTCGTTCTTTTTGTTTTGTAATTTTTATTTGATTTTATGCTCGTATTCTGTTAAAAGTACAAAGAGTTTAATTAGAAGTTAATTTTTTAGTTGATTTTTATGTCGTTTATATCGGTGCCTTAAAAGTAAAAAACCAAAAAGATATGTTTTAAAAAAGACTTACAGCTTATTCTAAGACTGATAATTATAAGTATATGGCGGCGCTACCATCGCGCCACAAGCAAAAAACATCGAAGCCTAAATCGTGCTAACAAAGTTCCGAAGTTAAAGCAGTATATATAGAACAGCCCCGAACTACAACCCGGAGCGTTGGCCGCTCCCCGGGCAAAACACCTTGCCCGGCGGGAGATTTCCCCTTTTCCTTCCACCGGCTACAAGTACAAAAAATTATTTAAATAACAAATATGTAGTCTTTTATTGTGTTAATATATGAATATGTAAATTATTTCCAATAATTATTTATAAAAATACCTTAGTTCTGTTTGGGATAGTTCTATACACCACGTGTTACTGTATGTTACCAAATACAGCGCGTAAACTTTAAGTTTAATTAAGTACCAAAAATGCAGATAGGCTGACCCCTGAGGACTAAGGAATGCCTCGCTTTTAGTAAGAAGGGTCTCCGGTACTTTACACTTATTGTGAGAGCGTGGTCCTTCCCCGGAGCCGAGGCACTCGTACTACAACATAATATAGCTGCAGCGTGGCTCTACTACGTTAACTTCATTGGTGCCTACGTGGATTTTTTTTTATAGGATAAGGTGACAAACGAGCACGAGTAAGTCCTCGTTTGCGAATCAAAATGCAGATGCGTTGTCACCCGTGAAGACTAAGATAGAATGCCTCTTTTCCAGTAAAAGGGTCTCCGATTCTCTACACTCACCATACGAAACACAGGAGCATGAAGCTGCTATTTGACGCTGGTATTCTGTGAGAGCGTGGACCTTCCCCGGTCGAGCCGACCCATTCGTGCTACAACTATACTATTAATATAGCTGCAGCATGGCTCTATCACGTATAAAACTCGGATTAAATCCGTGTTGCTCACCTATTGTAATATATACGGCGAGCGTTAGGCCCTTGAGTTAACACGGCTATTTCGTCGTATAAAAAGCGTATCATTAATTTTGTATAATTCATTCTCTAGTGCATTAGTTGGTGTACATGGCGTCTGAGGCGACAAAAATACAATTTTTTATACAATCTTAATAAATATGATAAATTAACATTGACTAAGCAGAGGCCGTTGCAAAATATTTTATATTTACTTATTCTATACTCTAAAGTATTTTTATACAACTAGAGGTAATATTGCAGACTTTTTTTTATAGAAATATTGTAACAAATGAGAATAGTTCACCGGATGGTAAGTGGATGCTATAGCCCATAAACATCATTGAATAAAAATCAAAATACATATGCGTTGTCTTCCTTGATATCTTAAAAGGTATAGAGAGCCAGCATATTTAAAGGCAGTGAGGCATTCCACATCTTAGTCCACAAATTTATTCCACTTAGTTTTAGGTGTCCGTGGGCTGCAGTAACCGCCTGCCATCAGGTGAACTGTTAGTTTGCTTGTCACTTCAGTTTTATATAAAATATAAATATATGTTCTCCATTTTTATAGTATATAGAATGGGTGTTATAATTAGTGATAATCAGCATTTCATTAAGTTAACATCAAGCACGTTAACAAATTAGATGAAATGCGGGTGCGTGATCCCAATTATTTACAATACGGTTAATTCGTTATTTGCTTATCACAGTGTACTGTAGACCTAATTCTAAATTCACATGAGGTATTCGTGTGATTCGCGTACCAAGGACTGAAGACCGGAGGCTTGATTACAACCATTTTATTTTGTCGGGTGTAATTAATTCGGGTCAGCGACAAAACAAACAATTTTCAATTGTGTACTGATATTGTGGGAACCTGCTTTATATATGGCAAAGGTTTTAAATTAAATGTATGGTTCTCTGATTTTTGAATAGATGTACATTAAACAGATAAAAATGTTTACGGTTAGCCATATACATATCGTATTTAAAGTATTTTAGTGACGTTTATTTATTGGGTTTACTTTATAAAATAAGGGTGGCAAACGAACACACTCTCCTAATGGGAAGTCGATGTTGTGGCCCATAGACATCTACATCTATCCTCGCTCTCCCTCTCTTAACTATATCTATCTATGCGCTATTGCCTCTGAGGACTTGGATGAAATGCCTCGTTCGCATCTCCGGTTATTTAAACTCACCATACGAATTAAACTATTATTTTACGCTGATATTTAGTGAGACCGTGATTTTTCCCAGGTTCAGCCGACTTATTCGTGCTGCTAACGTTATACATCTGCAACATAACTCTACCAAGTCCAACTTTATTTAAATTTTACGATAATTACTATCTACATTTCGGACATAACCATTCGAATCATTGCTGCAGCATTCAGCTAAGGTAATAACCGTTCGAGGAAATTAAAATGCATTCACTGACTGGTGTCATTATTATATCTATTTTTAAAATTTATTAAATTGCTCTGTAATTTTTATAATTGATTTGATAAAATAACACCTTTATTATGTCATCCATCATCATATTTATAGTTCTAGTTTACATAAAAGTAGGGGATATTAAATAAATAGTTTTATACGTGATAGAACTATGCTGAAGCTCTATAATTGTACCAAGAAATAAAGTAGAAAAGTAACAGATATAAGGTCTTACTTATAAAAATAAAAATAATTTTAAAAATTCTAATAAATGCTCTCTCTCTCTCTCTCTCTCTCTCTCTCTCTTTCTTTCTTCACTAAGTGACAATAGAAAGAGATAGATCTAGACATGATTAGTTTTTACTGTAAGAAAGTGATAGGCAGCAATTTAAAGGCCGGCAACGCATCTGCGATTCCCTCCCTGGTGTTGCAGTTGTTCATGGGCGGCGGTAGTCACTTACCATTAGGTGAGCCGCATGCTCGTTTGCCCCCATAAAACATATAAGTAAAGCCGTAAGCCAATTTAAGACTAATTTCTGTACTGCCAATACTTCATGAAAAAAAATTCTTGTTCAAATGTAATTTTGTTTAGTGTAAATAATGTTCTTCATAAATATCAACTCAGTTTCACAAGGGGTCGCTCGACAACTGATGCTGGTGTTTTAGCTGATTAAATATATTGTTACGGCCTACGGCTGCTCCCTTAAAGGTCAAATCCTCAGAGGCCCATTCAGCTGAGTTTCGACGAGCAGACGTAGGTCGGACCTCCTAAGGCCAAAGTGGAAAATCTCTCATTACACTAAACTATATGGGGGAGCGTTCTATACTACGGCCAGTCGTCTGGGAGGATATTAGACGGACCCTACTTACCTATATCCAAAGCGACTGTTCCCTCCGGAGTCGGTCAGGTCGCATGTGGTTGTGTAGTGCAAGGGAAATAAGGTGCTGTGATGTGTATCTGGGTGTGACTGACCTTAGTAGACTTGACCTTAGTAGACCTTGGCCGTCGGCAGCAGCCCGGGCGTCGACACCGCTCCAAATTGAGGTAATCTTCTGCGGCGCCGTCCTCAGTCACTTTCCTCGTTCGTCACGATGACAGTCCATTAACTCTATCGTACGATTAACTAACTTACAGAAGCCACTAACTGTCGTTAGGTATAAGGTTAACGCACAAAACGCACAGGGAGTTTCCGGATCAAAGGTCACTAGCGTTTCGCGTAGCAACAGTTATTTCTAGAATATCAAAGGCCGCACTAGCTAATATTGCCGAATGCACTTATGCAGATTCTGAGTCAGACACAATGAGTCCCTGGGAAGCTCTCCAGTAGGAATGCGCGCCTCAAATCCTAGACCTTATATTTACTGTCCGCGCCTAATTATTCCGAGTTCCCGACGAAAATGACAGCGTGCTAACGTTAGCACCGCTTACAGACGACTGCTGCGCTTGCACGTCATACGCGCGACCGAATGTCAGACCGGTATTGCACCGAGCCGGGCGCCCTCTGACGTCGATTCCGGAACCACCGTTCGAGCGTAAACATATATCTTCGATGCATGGCAGAATTCACTGGAAGCTTTGGGTATATTCTGTGACTTACCCAAGGCCTTCGATTGTGTTCACCATTAAAAATTAATTAGAAAACTTCAACACTACGGTATATGAAAAGATGCTCTTAAATTGTTTATTTCATATTTAAGAAACAGAATGCAAAAAGTCGTTATTAATAGTCTAAGCACTTCTGGGTAGACAGTACAAATGGGTTTGCCTTAGGGCTCACCTCTCGGCCACTTTCTGTTTCTTGTATATATTAATGACTTACCTTACATAGTAATAATATGAGGTATAGGAGGAAATAATAATAATAATAGTAATTATGACTATAATATGATGACACTTAAATAATTTTCAAATTAAAACGACAGTTACTAAAATATAACGAAGTGAATAATGCTGTATCTAAATTAGTAAATTGGTTTAGTGTTAACTTGCATCTAAATGGAACTAAAACGAAACATATGAAATTCATGACTCCAAATGTCACACAATTAAATACTAATGTATTTTTCAATTGTGAGGAAATTAGTCTTGTCGATAACACCATTTTTCTTGGAATCACACACGATGCGAAGCTTAATGGAGCCCCTATATATAAAAAATTAGCAAGCATGCTTAGTTCTGCAGCATATGCTCTAAAAATATTAGAAATCTTACCAGTGTTGAAACAACTAGACTTGTTTACTTCAGTTATTTCCGTAACATAATGTAGTATTGTATTTTGCTATGTCGACAGGCCACTGACACAAAAATTTATATTTGTTTTACGGAAGAAGATCATAAGCAATCTATGATTAAAAACCTAAAGAGTCGCTCTGACAAAAGTTTAAGGAAATTAATATTTTAAATAATATGGCTTTTCAATCGCACATCGTGACAAAACTCGCGACACCATCTATGCTATCTGAATAATTGGCGGTCCACCACTGTGCGATTTAGAAGAAGTTTTCTTCCTCGCATAACCTTCTTGTGGAATCGATTACAACCAGAGATTTTTCCAGCACGATATGACTTAGACACCTTCAAGAAAAGAGCCTACTTCTCTTTAAAAGGCCGACAAAGCATCTGCAATTCACCTGGTGTTGCAGTTGTTCATGGGCGGCTTATTTATTGGTCTTTGAGGCCGTAAGCGTTAAGGAGCGCGACAGTTAGAGAGCATGGTTTATTTCTACCTAGATTTTGTGCTGCCATTCTTATATTTAACAGAGGTGATTAGACGCACTGGAAATACCACATTACGTCGATAAGTCCTATGTGCTCAATCGTAGCGTTAAGCTTGTCCTGAGATGAGATAGCTACGCGGAGTTTGCGGGCCAATGAAGATAACTCAGCAACAATGATGTTGCTGATGAAGCTACAGACTAGTGAGAAGTTAACGGTGAAGGAGTATGATCCTTGTGGGACGGGCTTTGGTTTTGGGGCCTGAGGAGGCGGCACTGGCCGTGAGAATGATTTGAATTTGTTGCAGCATACACCGAAATTTCAGTGCGATACATTTAATTAAATTTTATTGAAATCGCACACAAACTTGATACAAATCCTTTTTAGTCTAGTTAAGTGAACGAAAATGTAAGAGATAATTTTACTATAAGTGAATTGTACATAATATTATTATATTGACACATTTCAATTTATTTAATACTAGCGACACTTTGCGGCTTCGCTTGGATGGGATCCATTAATGTTACCTTATTTATAATTAATAAAAAAGAGCATTTGTTTAATCATTTTTGTTGTTTCATCACAAATAAATAAAACATGAAAGCCGTCATGGAATTGTTCTCTATCTGTTCGTAAAGTTTCATCACAATCGGTTCAATCAGAACATTAGACTGGACAGACAAAAATTTTGAAATAGTTATTTATGTCATGATAAGAAGCAAATAACCTCCTAAGTTAAATGGATGTCAGATTTTCAATATTACTGACAGGCACTTTCATTTTATTTATGTGTATAGAAAATATTATAGTCATCATCATCATCATTACAGCCCTTCACAAGTCCACTGCTGAACATAGGCCTCCCCCAAAGAATGCCACAAAACACGGTCCTGAGCCACCTGCATCCATCGACTTCCTGCATGTCTTACCAGGTCGTCACTCCATCTCGTGGGGGGACGCCCTACACTTCGCCTACCGGTACGAGGCTGCCACTCGAGAACCTTTCTTCCCCATCGGTTGTCGGTTCTTCGAGCTATATGGCCGGCCCACTGCCACTTCAGCTTACTAATCCGTTGGGCTATGTCGGTCACTCTGGTTCTACTGCGGATATCCTCATTTCTAAGTTTATCATGCAGAGAAACTCCGAGCATAGCCCTCTCCATAGCTCGCTGAGCGACCTTGAGCTTCCTCATACGGCCAGCAGTGAAGGACCACGTCTCAGTTCCGTAAGTCATCACTGGCAACACGCACTGGTTGTACAATTTCGTTTTAAGGTTTTGAGGTATGTCTGACGAGAAGATGTGTCGTAGCTTCCCGAACGCTGCCCAGCCGAGTTGAATCCGTCGATTGACCTCTCGGTCGAAGTTGGACTTACCCAGTCGGACTATTTGTCCCAGGTAAACATACTCGTCAACAACTTCGAGCTTAGTGTTCCCAACAACTATCGGCATAGGTGTGACATGGACATTAAACATGATCTTAGTTTTGTCCATGTTCATCTTAAGACCTATCCGTTGGGAAACACTATTGAGGTCATTGAGCATAGTGCTTAGGTCCTCCAGCGATTCTGCCATAAGGACTATATCGTCGGAAAATCGAAGGTGAGTGATGTACACGCCATTGATGTTGATACCGTATCCTTTCCAGTCCAGAAGCTTGAAAATGTCTTCCAATGCAGCGGTGAAGAGTTTCGGGGATATGACGTCACCCTGTCTTACACCTCTCTGCAATTGGATAGGTTTCGTACTCTGGTTCTGTACTCGGATAGCCATCGTAGCCCTACTGTACAAGCACTTCAACACTTCGATATACCGACAGTCAACTTGGCACCGCTGAAGGGACTGCAGCACCGCCCAAATTTCGACGGAATCAAAGGCTTTCTCATAGTCCACATACGCCAGACATAGTGGCAAATTGTACACTTCGGACTTCTGTACAACTTGCCGAAGGGTATGTATGTGGTCTATGGTGCTAAAGCCCTTTCGGAAACCGGCTTGTTCGGGAGGCTGGAAGTCGTCAAGTCTGCGCGCGAGACGATTCGTAATGACTCTCGAAAACAGCACGTAGACGCGGCTCAGAAGGGAAATCGGTCTGTAGTTCTTCAAGAGAGCGTTGTCACCTTTCTTGAAGAACAAGACCACCGCACTTCTGCTCCACGCCTCCGGTGTAATGCCACCATGGAGGACGGAATTAAAGAGCTTCTGAAGGACTTCAAGTACCGGTCTTCCACCCGCTTTCAGAAGCTCCGCTGTAATTCCATCCTCGCCTGGGGCCTTACCGTTTTTAAGGTGCTGGAGAGCCATCCTAATCTCGCTCAGACTGACATCCGGGATATCTTCGGAATAGTGTCGGATGAGACTCGCTCTTGGATCGTTACTCACACTTGCGTGTGGCTCCAACGATGATGTGTACAGCTGCCCATAGAACCTCTCAATCTCACTCAAAATCTCAGGTGTCCCGGAAACGATGCTGCCACATTCTGTCTTCAGCTTTGACAGTTGGCTCTTTCTGGCAGACAGATCTCTGGCAAAGACTTTGGAGCCTTGGTTCCGCTCGATCGCTTCTTCAATACGAGCTGTATTGAAGTTGCGTAAGTCCCGCCGCATGCATTTGGAGATCTGTCTGTTCAGATGCCTGTATGCTGTCAAGTCTGTTGAAGAATGTAGCTTCATCTCCCGTCTAACAGCCATGAGATTAAGAGTGTGATCGGAGAGTTTTTGTGTTCTTCTGCGGCGGGTCTTGCAGAACTTAGCTCCAACCGCATGGACAGTTTCCACGAG